TGTATTGAACGCGCGTCGATTTTGCCTTGCGGATTTCGAGTGTTTGGTCGGCGGCGAAAGGGGTGCCTGCTTCGGTTGGAGGTGCTACTGTGAATTTTGGACGAAGGTTCTGAGTTTTGGACTAAGGTTCTGATTTTTTTTCTTTTTTTCTGGACTGTACCAAGGTTCTGAAAGGTTCTGAAGAATCTGAAAAACTGAAATTTCTGAAGAAAGAATTCGGAAACAGGTTTTGGGAAGAGGTTCTGGGAAGACTAGGAGGTTCTTGGAGACAGAGTGCTGCCTCGAGGTTCTGAAGATTTAGGACTGAAATATGTTTCTAGGAGAAAGAACACAGTCTGAAAACTAAACTAAGACAACAAACTAAACTGAAATCTGAAAAGAAAAACTAAATTAGAATGGAAGGCTCTGATACCATGCTGAAATATAAACTAGAATATTATTGAAGAGTGGAGGAAAGATTTTCTGTATATTTATTGGAGGGTTAAGACCCTATATATTACAAAGATGATGGAATATTCCTATATAAGATGCTATACAATAATAATGTCTAGAGTATTTCCTAAAGCATATTCCTAGGTATAATAATACTTTCACAGGGTGGATGTAGGGTGTAGGGTCGAGGTAGGGGCAGGTGGGATGGGGTAACAGTGGAGGGGAAATGGGTAGGGTCGGGGTAGGGGCAGGGTACTGGTGCGGGGGGACGAGCAAGGGTGGGGGTGGAGTAAGGGTTGGGGGTGGGTGGGGTATGGGTAAGAGGTTAGGGGTAAGGAGGGTAGGTGTAAGGTGGGGGTTAGGGGTAAGGTACGCGTACGGGTCGGGTTCGGGGTAAGGTATAATGGGTTAGGGGTAGGGGTAGGAGCAAGGTAAGAGTTGCAATAAAGGGTAAGGGTAAGAGTAAATTTGGAAGCTGAAAAAACTTAAAGTGCCACTTAATTAATACATGGGAGGTGGTATGCTTACTAAACCACATTTAACACCTCTTTCGGTTAGTAAGCAGCTTTTTAAGCAGTTTGTGTGCTTACTTCACCTGTTTTACTAACCTAACCGTGACTTTACAGCGAAGTAAACACGTCATGAGAATTCACTGAAATAAACAACCTAAATTTTTCACACCTCCTCTTCCCCTAGACAATTTCTCCATGTTCTTCACCGAAGTCCGCAAATCTCTTCAGTTCATGCCTCCTCTTTGCTCTAGCCGATTTCGCCCAATGTGCCTCCATCTTTGTCACTGACGCTGCCTCCATGCACATATTCATTTTCTCCGCCGCCATAGTTTACTTCACCCCCATTTCGCCGTCCCACACTTTTCATCTTCTACTTTTTCTGTCTAATCGCGAGGGACAGTGAATGGGTGTGGATTCTCCGCAACCTTAAATCTCAATGGAGGCAAATCCTAGTGAAGGAGATGACATCAGGAGAAGAAGATCGCTCCAACTGGTGAACGACGGTGAATCTGAGCAGTAGCGGCTCGAGGCGACAACTACACCTTTGTGATGACTAAGGTTTTTGGGTAGGATGGGGGGCTTGGTTAGTGGGAGACTGAAGAGGGAGCTAGGGAGGCTGTAGGCTGATGGGGAGGTTGGTCGTTGGGGGATGGTGAGGGGGTTATGGAGGCTGGCCGTTGGGGAGGGGGTTGGGTTAGAGTAGGGTGTGGGTGCAGTGGTAGGGGCGACGCGGTAACTGGACAAGGCAGCAACGGTCACCAGTAGGGGTGAAAGTCGATGAATGGGGCAGGGCGGTGATTACTTGGCAGTGATTACTAGGCGACATAGGTCCTTGATTGTAATGGGTGTAACTGAAATTGGTCAAAGGTGGTCACTCTGATAGTGACCATTGTGACAAACAGTGATCACTAGCCAGGGTCATGGTGGACGGTGGTTAGGAATCACATTTTATGGAAAAATCCAAAAATAGTCCTATTTTTACGAAAAATTATTCTTTTAGTAACATTGATGTCGAAATCCCAACTTTATAGAGTTTTTACCGCTTTTGGTCTTTCGACTATTATGTCATTGACACTTTTGGTACTCGACTTTGGTTTTTTCCACTTTTAATCTTCAATTATTGTGTTAGAGACACTTTTAGTACCCGTCTTTAAAAACTATCAGAAATTTAAAGTTATAAGTAGATTTCCCCCTGGCTATTAACCCTAACTAGGACAAAAAGTAGCCTTATATGCAACTATAGAACTATAATCCTTTTATTATGAAAACAAGAGTAATATATGTCGTTCTTCTGTCTAGTCCTTCCAATAATTTCTCATAGATTTATTTTATTATTAAGAAAAGCATAGTTTTATTTATAATAAAAATATAAAAATAAAAATAATATTTATAAATTTGGAGTAGTAAAAATTGTAAATAATAAAACAAAAACAAGAAATGAAAAAAATAATAAAAAGTGCTAAAAAAACTTTAAAAATTCTAAAAATTAAAATAAAATACCTAATGATGACATGAAGACGACATTTTTACGTTTTGAAAAAAGTCTAAAAAAAGGCCACATTCATCTGAAAATGTCATGAAGATGACATTTTCAAAATTGCCATTACGATGACATTTTTTTTGTCGACTTGGCATTCTTCTTCGGTGACCGGAGGTGGAGGTACTGGAAGGTTGCTAGGGTGGTGATTATTGGTTATTGGTTAAGGTCTGTATGTTATTTATTTATTTTTACATTTTATTTTATTTTAATTTTTTTTAAAATTTATTATTATTACTTAAAAAATCTTATTAAGAATGACAAGGATAATGCTAGAATAGAAAAAGTTAGTCCTATTTTAAGAATTTAAACTTTAAACACTTATACTTTTTTTGAAAGGAAACTAATTATATTATATCAACCAAAATTCTCAAAGTACATCCAACCAAACATCACTAAAACCTCCTCATGAGGCTCCGCATAGCCAAAAGGCCCTCCCACTCTCTGGCTAGACATAGAATAGACCACCCCGCAAAGAGCGAGACTATTCGCGAACCATGTGAGAGCTTTGAAGCTTTTAGTGGCCAAACAAGTCTTATCGCTTCCACACACAAACCTAATCCGAATAAAACTGCTACGGAGACTACCGCTAGTATTCACAAAGAAATTAATCCGAAATTGATGAACGATAAAATAACAAAAGAAAACAGTAAAACTAACTAAAAGAAGCATCCAAATCCTAGCCGCTCGTTTCTTCCCGGTGGTGGCTCTGGAGGGGGACGGACCAATACCGCTTCACCATCTGCCTTCAATCCCAACTGATGAAAGACCTGTCGTAAAATCGGACCCCATACCTCTAGCATTCCACCCGGATCAAACACTGTTGGTGCCGCTCCCATCTCGATTATCATCAAAGCCAAAATCATCAACCCAATCATTTGAAAACCGGATTCTTCCAAATTCAATTGCCCGTAGGCCTTTGCCAGCGCCTCAGTGCCACCAGCGTTGTCTCCGTTCTCCCAAGCACTTGCCATGGATCAATTCAGTAAATAATTGATCTCACGAACTAAGGCTCGATCGCCGAAGCCGCTGTTGTTCAAGACTCGATCGCCGTGCGAAGAGAAGAGAATCGTGGACGATCGATAATCGCCGCTCCAAACCCTAGGCATGAGGCCTACCCGTCCGCTCTTTAAACACTTATACTTATAATTGTGCTTTTGTTTAATCTTATTTAGGGAAATCTCACTTAATTAAAACATATAACATAGGGTATAATTAACTATACAATCATATAAAAAAATACGTTATCGACCGTTTTTATTATTTGAGGAAATGACAGTGGATTTTTATTCCAATATTACTAAAAATAGGATAAAAGATAAAAAAGTAATCTGTTTGTTAAAATTCCAAAAATGTGACCAACATCACAATTAACCATGCAGTGTAAAGTGACTCCGGGCAAAGTGACTCTGACCAAAGTGACCCAACCGACCACAGTGACTGCCCCGCCGCCAGTTACTGCTCCGCCGCCACAGTGACTGCCCCGCCGCTACAGTGATTGCTCACCGGCCACGGTGACTGCCCCACTGGTCCGCAGTGACTGTCCGTCAACCGCTAAAGTGGCCGCCCGCCAACCGGCAAAAGTGACCACCTACGAATCCGCCACAGTGACCATCGCCGTTGTCGCCACCTCCCCAACCCTGTCCCTACCCAGCCCCCCTCCGCAGTTTGAGCTCCCACCAGCCCAGCCTTGCCCAGATCTAACCACCTCCAATGCCCCCAACTTGCCTAAGCCTGCCACCAACTCCCCTAAGCCTGCTACCATACACCAACAATGGTGAAGCATCTGCACTAAATCGACACCCATCGATCGCCGCCCATACAGTCCCAAACAACCATCGCCTCCAGCCGGCAACCCTAGATTTAGGCGCGAACAAAACGATGTAGGAGATTTAGATCTAGATCTAGCTTCAGTTGGGCTTTAATAACTGGAGTGAAAGGTCGAAGACGACGGCGGCGGCACGGTCCAGAGCAGGCGGCAGAGCAAGGGACTGGCAGAACGAAACGAATCGGTCCACCATCGGCTCTCGTCAACAGATCGTTCTTCCAGTTTGGAACAAGGTCACGACGCCTGAAGGTTTGGATGGCCTAGCGGAGATGGCGGCCTGGCAGGGACAACTGATTCTGTGGAGTTTCGATGCTGCGCTGCTGGATCGTAATTGTTGGATGATGGGATGCGTGAATGCTGCGCTGCTGGATGTTTTGATGGAGCGAAGGAGACGATTTCGCCGGGGGAGATGGGGCGACGGGAGTTTTAAATAAGTCATAGTTTTGGAAATTGTAAAAGTTGTCATATTTTTTGAAATGAAAACTCTAAGAGACTATTGAGGCAATTTTTTCTAATAAATGTCCTTCCCAAAAAAGAACCACAATATTATTACTCTGGATTATTATAATTATTATACGTACTCGTACTCCGTAGTACTCCGTATTTATTAAAATAATTACTCCGTATTATTATTATTACAGAGTATTTCAAAAGTAGAGAGATGATGACCCACGTTCTCATCGGACCACAAGTTCCATGCACCGTTCTGACAGTCACACACGTTCAAACCAACCTACAATTACTCTTTTTTTTTTTGGTACAGCGGAAGGAAACTACCATTACTCTACCCACTACTTCCTCAACTCCTCTTTTCCACCAGAAAGTAGTGCAAAAATAATTTGACGGAAAAAAGAAAGGTGAAAAAGAATCTTAACAGTGAAACTTCAAGCTTGCGACTTTCTTTCTCCTTTCTTCCTCATCTAATTAGATTTGCTTTAATCTAGCAATAGTTCCAACAAATGAATGTCGAAAATTTTGGGTCCTTGTCTTGCGCTACCCCACCTCATCATCATCATCAAGCTCTTTGTACTAAGTTCCAAGTTCAATTTTTTATTCTATTGTTTTCTCGTCTTCAAGAACTGGAAAATCTTTGGATGTAGAGAAGATGATTGAAAACCCAAACCCGAAAGTCAAGATTCAAACGACCCACTTCGATTTCTTGAAGAACTTCAAACGGTTCAAGTCTCTGGAGACCTCCTCACCCTGTGGTGTTCTGGGATGTTTCTTCCTAAGCCTCTGCTTGTTCTGTTCTCTATTCTTCATAGACTACAGAACTGTCACCGGCGGGATCCGGTTTCATGGGCCCACCCGGTCTTTCACCACCATGAATGAATCTTTCCTCCAAAAAAGGTTGAATCCCCAACCCCAAACCATGAATGAATCTTTGTTGTTGTCTGACGTGGATCGGAAATTAGTGGACTTTCTTCATGAAGGTGGAAATGGCTGTGATATCTTTGAGGGAAGTTGGGTGTGGGATGAGACCTACCCTTTGTATCAGTCACAAGATTGCCCATTCCTGGATGATGGCTTTCGTTGTACAGATAATGGAAGGCCTGATTCTTTCTATACTAAATGGCGCTGGCAACCTAAAGATTGCAACTTGCCCAGGTTTTTTTCTTAGATAAGATTATTGAGAATGATATGTTTTCATTTAGTTTTGATTAATTAGTATTACCAACAATGTTGGGGTTTGCTTGATTTCGCTTCAATTGCTATGTTTTACACCGTTATAGGTGTATTTCTTGATGAGTTGATGTATAGTTTTGTTTTTTGAACTATGTTTATTGCAGAAATGAACTTAATTGCCATAAACACACCAAGAGACACACATATTTATGCATCGATTTTATGTTTGAGTTAATTTAATTAGTCATTTTAAAGTTGTGAATTTGTGAATTTTATTCTTACTCTTGTACTTTTATGCAGTCTTGTCTTCAAATTCTGAATGATAATACTTTTCACTTTTTTCCTAACACAAAATACTTAGATTTTGTTGAAAAGGATAAGTTTGTTGTTTATATTGTGCTTTAAGTAATTAAGCTTTCACAGATAAAGTCCGTGAATCTGATAATCCAATTTGGTTTCCCATTGAAATGGATTCAATTCTGAAGTCCATGGATCACATTGCAAATTTATCTCTAGTCCACTTAATCTCATTCAATCTCACCCAGTCACCCCTTTGTTGGTAAGAGAAAAAAACAGTTTCTTAACTTTCTGAGTATTTGGAAACAGATTTGATGCAAAAAACATGTTGGAAATGCTGAGGAACAGGAGGGTTGCATTTGTGGGAGACTCAATTGGAAGAAACCAGTGGGAGTCTCTTCTTTGCCTTCTCTCTTCTGCAGTTGCTAATAAAAGTTCAATATATGAAGTCAACAGAACTCCAATCACAAAACATTCGGGTTTCTTGATTTTCAAGTTTGAGGATTTCAACTGTACAGTTGAATATTACAGAGCCCCATTCCTTGTGGTGCAAAGCCGCCCACCTGCTGGTTCACCAAAAGGGGTAAAATTGACTTTGAAGTTGGATCAAATGGATTGGAGCTCTAGTAAATGGAAAGGTGCAGATATTCTTGTCTTCAACACTGGTCATTGGTGGAATCATGAGAAGACCATTAGAGGGTAAGATTTCATCATGTAATTATTTACATAATCTATTAAATGAAAGGAAAATAAAGTATTATGTGTTGGTCCCATTTAGGTCTTCAATTTAATACAGAGTAGCTAGTAAAGAAATACATAATATACTATAGCAAAATTAATTATGAAATGATGACCAATATAGGACTAGAATGAAAGTGTTGAAAAACGTGACTGTTAATTCTTCGTGTTCAACCAAAAGTAGTAGTTTCAGAGTGGCTATAGTGACTCTGTAAGAAAAAAGCCCAGTTATTATTTCATTACTAAAAAAAGTTTCTGTATTTTAAACATTTTTACCCAAAAGAAGTTATTTTTTTCATATTTTCCTTTTGATGTTATTGTGTTCATTTGTCATCCTAAACTCATGGCGATCATTAATTTTCCTCTCATCTTTTATCAACCCTCTGACCATTCAAAAGCACAATACTCATTTGACCATTCACTTGCAGTGGAACTTATTTCCAAGAAGGTAAACATATTAAGATGAATATGACTGTGGAAGAGGCGCTTCATAGATCAATTGTGACATTGGTTGATTGGCTGGGGCGCGAAGTAAATACCTCCAAGTCCCATGTCTACTTTCGTAGCTACGCTCCTGTTCATTTCAGGTTTGTCTGAATTTTCTAGATGGAAATGCGTAATATTATTCTCAGCCATTTTATCTGATTTATTTTCATCCCATCTTAGTTGTCCCAAAAGTAAGTTAAGCTTTTCCATCACTACCTGTACTTCAGAAGACTTTAATTAAGACTAGAATGAGGAAATTAGTGGGTGAGGCAAAACCTGAAATGCAGTTAACTTTCCTCAGCTGATTACAGGATGAAGGATGTAAGAGCTCGTTCGCTAAAATTTAAAATGGCTAAATTGTGAAAGTAATGATTGAAATTGCTCAGTTGACTGACGGTTGCATTAGACTAATTATATTTAAACAAATTGCCATAGAGAGGAGTAAAAACGTTTGTGAATTTCAAAATATGACTATGATGTTTTTATTCCTTAAAGAAGACTATAAGAGTAATTATTGTCACATTTTGGCATTACCGGGCTTGAAACATGGCATGACAATATTTTTCAAGCTTGACAGTAATTACTCTTATATAGGGAATAAAATCATAGTATTCTCTTTAAAAAAACATAGTATTCCTGTTTTGGAATTATGAAGTGTTTTTACTTCTATTTCGGGAATTTTCCCTATTAATAAAAAATATGTACATACCTACATACCTTATTAAGTTATTAACAAAATGAAGTATTCCGTAAAATGCTTGTGGAAAGAAAGAAGTAAAAGTGGACCTCTCTTCCAAATTCATCCAATTCAGAGTATCTCCAACCCCATCCTTTACATTATGAACCAATTCAGTGCATTAAATCTACAGATATGAAGTGTACTACCAAACGGATCTGAGCATCTGGAGTATTGTTCGTTTGTTCTATCAAGTTTTCTGGTCACCAATTTCCTGCAACATGTTTTGTTTGTAGCAGATTTCCAAATAGGGACACGACTAAATAATTCTTTATTTTGCATTTGTTTGATATTTCCATCCTCTTACTAAACAAAACCATCTTTTGATATGATGAGCGAACAGAGGCGGGGACTGGAAAACTGGCGGCAGCTGTCACCAGGAAAAGCTACCCGATCTCGGAACCTCTGAATTGCCGGCGTCCATGGAGTTCAACACGGTCATCAATGCTCTTTCACAAAAACAGGGTGTAGAGCTTCTGAATGTGACGGGCATGACATGGCGGAGAAAAGACGCTCACTTATCTTTGTATTATTTGGGTCCAAACGGTGGATTGGCGCCTCTACACCGACAAGACTGCAGCCACTGGTGCCTCCCCGGTGTACCCGATTCTTGGAACCAACTTCTTTATGCCGTCTTTCTTAAGCGGGACCGCTCCAGTCGTTCTCAGACCATCCCACCGGATTCCGGCCCCTCATAGCGTTGCTGGTTCCCGTCTGCGATGGAAAACGGAGAGCCTATGATTCATTTGGTGACATAATTTAGAATTTATTTTTTGCATTTGTATGCACATTTTGTTATATATCAAGGTGCCCTGAATGTAATAGTTACGAAAAGTAAGTTCACTTATTAGATAATGTGGATAATTCAATGTCATCGAAGATAGACAGTGGAAATTCCTTTTTGTAATGACAAATTTTCTATTTCCGTTTGATTCATATATCATAATATAACGGAGAAAATGAATTTCTAGAGTTGGTCGATCGAACATATTGATGATTGAACGTTTATAATAATGTTTGATATAATGAGCGAAAAGCGGATATGTAAAACAGTAAAAGTGATCAATTGTGGCTACAATTTGTGGTTGAATAGCCAACCCTAAGGCTCCTCACATCTCGACCCGACAGAGCACATGAGATGTTGTAAATCACTGTGACTCAACCAATTCTAACTGTGGTAGACCTTATATCCGTGCACACAAGAGGCTCAACCCAGCACATCGGAGCCGACGAGCCATGACCTCCACACGGTCATTGCGGGTTTCGATCATTGATCATTTGTCCAACTTTGTGTGGGTAAAGAAAATCTCCGTCTTTTTCAAGAGTACATGAGAAGGTGTTGTGATTACTAAAAAAACGAATTTGTGTGATTGATATTAAATTGAGAAAGTAAAAATGACTTACAATTATCTAAACATTAACAATTTGGCGAATCAAAATAAAAAAATGGGACAATTTTAACCGGATGGTATATGATTACATAAAAGAATTATATACGACTCTTTATATTTTTTTTTTATGTTTGAGCCTTTTTAGTTTCAACAATACATTAAAGTGTACTATATTCACACTTCTCAAGTATATTGACACTTCTCAATTTTTAGACGCCTCATATAATAGCCGCGCATGCAATACCAATTTTCTTAGAAATAAACTGATTGTAATATGGGGAAAAGACTTGAATAGTGTGAAATGAAGAAGATGCAGAATAGATTAAAGAGATAGATATATTAATAATAACCTCTAAATAACTTCTTCTTAATCTCTGAAATTTCTGAGTTTCTGAATTGCTTAAATTAATTTTACAAAGGATTGAATGCCCTATTTATACTAACCAGACTTGGGATGAATCATCTAGAATGATTCTACATAATTTGCTGGCAACATTAAACCTAAACAACTGTCTATTACAAGGACTGGAATTTAATTAGTGTCCTGATGACAAGGATGAAACATTCACACTTGTCATTCTCAGGAATTTACAACACTCCCCCTTGAATGTTCATCCTTGAATATGTATTTGTTATCTTATTGTGAAAATGAGTGTGAAAATTAAGGGGTAAAAATTACGACATATAATGTCGTTGTATTTGGATGTACTGTCTCGTTAAAAACCTTATCAGGAAAAACCCAGTGGGATAAAAACCTGATGACGGGAAAAAGAGTGCAGTGCATTCAAATACTCCTCCTGAAATTAACATAAATTTTGAAGGCGGCGCATGCCGATTTTCTGTACAAGTTCAACGAACTTCTTCGGGGGTAAAGATTTGGTGAAGAGATCAGCTGGATTTTCACTTGATCTGATTTGCTGAACGTTGATCGTCCCTTCTTTCTCAAGGTCGTGAGTAGAGAAATTTTTTGGAGATATATGCTTTGTTCTATCTCCTTTGATGTAGCCTTCTTTAATTTGAGCTATGCACGCAGTGTTGTCTTCGTAGATCACAGTAGGGTAAACAGTAATAGGCTTCATACCGCATTCATTCTGGATGTGTTGAAACATAGATCGCAGCCATACACATTCTCTTCCGGTTTCATATAGTGCAATTAACTCCGAATGATTTGATGATGTAGCTGTCAACGTCTGTTTCATAGATCTCCAAGAGATTGCGGTATTACCATAAGTAAATACGTACCCGGTTTGTGATTTTGCCTTTTAAAGATCTGATAAATATCCAGCGTCTGCATATCTGATTAAAGAAGCTTTGGCATCTTTGTGGTAGAATAGGCCGAGATCAACTGTACCACGGAGATAACGGAATATGTGCTTGATCCCGTTCCAATGACGTCTTGTTGGCCATGAGCTGTACCTAGCTAATAAATTTACAGGAAATGCAATATCTGGTCTAGTATTATTAACTAAGGAGGGTGTATTGTATTAGGATTTAGTGGCAAAATTTTAAAAGTACATGGATTTTAAAAGTTTAGGTGTATTCAATGTGGACTTTTAAAAGTCCACAAAAGTCTAGGTGTATTCAATCCGGACTTTTAAAAGTCTATAAAAGTCTAGGCGTATTCAAATTTCCGTTCATTCTTATTGACTTCTAAAATCATGGATTCTCGTGGACTTTTAACTCATTTTTAGTGCAAAAATTCTCTACAATTGTCTCTTCTCCTCACCAAAGATTTCCGTGGACTTTTCTTATATCGGTTCTTCATCCCGTCCCACCCCATTCCTCCCCTCCCTCCTAGGGATGGACCGGGCCAGACCCGGTTTCTGTTCCGAGTCGGGCCCGGCCGGGCTTGGAATTTTTTGGGTAAGGCCCGGGACCAGCCCGGGAGTCTACCGGTATCGGGCCGGGCCAGTTCCGGGTTGGGCCGGGCTGGTTCATTTTTTCGGTTTTCTTATATATTCCAACCCTCACCCCCCAAACCCCTCCAAAACACCCAGCCTACCTACCATAGCCCCCCCCCACCCAAAAAAAAAAACAAATAAGGCCCGGACCGGGCCCGGACCGGCCGGGCTAGTCCTCAAATATGCAGTTCCGGAACCGCCCCAATTAATCCCCCCGGGTCGGGCCTAGGCCCGGTACCGGTACCGATCCAACGGGCCGGGTCAGACCCGCACAATGGCGGGCCGGGCCGGGTCCCGGGCCAGTCAGACCGGCCTCGGGCCAAGCCTACTCCCCCCCTCCCCCAACTCTACTCTTCTTTAGCCAAGCCACACCTTCCTCTTCAATCTTTCTTCTTTTTCTTCTTCAACCCAGCTCGCCCACCCCTCTCCTTCCATTCTTCTTCTTCTTTAGCTTGCCGTCCCCAGTCCACCCCCTCAATTCAGTAATCCTATATTCATTCGATTCTAGAAGTTTATAGAAGAACCGATATAAGAATCGATAGTGTTACATCAATGCAATTCTGATACGTCATCAGTTAACCATTAAGAAAATAAATATTTTAACTACCACTTTCTTTCATCGTTAAATCGCTTAACACATATAAATATAATTTCAAATTAATAAATATATAACCATAAATACATATACAAGTTTTTACAAGATAGAAGTTAAAAGAAAACAATCACTAAGTAGAAAAGCTCGATTGCATTTATGCTTGTACCACATGTAGCAATGAGTGTAACGCTTGTGTAACGATTAATGTTCTTAATCATTAATAAAATGGCCAAAATTCTCGAGCATTTTTGAAACTTTGAGTTTTTTTTAATAAAAATGAATTTGAATTCTTATGCTTCATTTATTTTTGTAGAACTTTGTCTTGCTATTTGAATTACATTTTTTCATTTATTTATTTATTTATTTATTTATTTATTTATTTATTTATTTATTTATTTATTTATTTATTTATTTATTTAATTATTTATTTATTTATTTATTTATTTATTTATTTATTTATTTATTTATTTATTTATTTATTTATTTATTTATTTATTTACTTACTTACTTACTTACTTACTTATTTATTTCTTATCGTACTCCGTATTATATAGAGGAAATCACTCACGGTAGGACTAAAACATAGCATTATTCTTAAAGTATGATTAAATGTTTGGTTTTTCTTAAATGGGAATAAATATTACATATTCACCCCTAATTTAATTAATTAATTAATATAATTAATTGTCCCTTGTTCCCTTTCAGAACCAAAGCCATTTTGTTGGTGACGCGTCAGTCCGATGACGACAGCGGGGAACTCCGGTGATGGATGTGGACAGGTCACAGGCATATCGGTAGCGACAATCTAGGTGAAAATTTTGACGAACAGCAGTGGCGGTCCGCATTTAAAAGTCTATGGACTTTTTGAAAGTCAATAAACTTATCCATGGATTTAAAAGTCCATAGAATTCATTCATAAAAAAGTCTATGGATTTAAAAGTTCATTGACTTTTTTAAAAGTCCATGGATTAAAAAAAGTCCACAACAATCCAAATTGAATACACCCCCCTAAATACATTAAAGCTCCTATAGCACTCAGGTATGGTACTTCGGGATCGAGTATTTCTTCGCCGTCTTCTCGGGGACGGAATGGATCATCGTGTATGTTGAGAGATCGAATGACCATTGGTGAAGTCAAAGGATGTGCTTTGTCCATATAGAATCTCTTCAACACTTTCTCAGTGTAATTGGATTGGTGGATGAAAATTTCATTCTTCAAATGCTCAATTTGAAGTCCGAGACAAAATTTGGTTCTCCCGAGATCTTTCATTTCAAATTCTTTCATAAGATATTTTGCAGTATTTTCAATTTCATCGGGAGTTCCAATAAAGTTTAAGTCATCAACATATACTGCAATTATGGCGAACCCCGAATTTGATCGCCGAATGAAAACACATGGACTAATTGGATCATTCTTATATCCTTCTTTGAGAAGGTATTCACTGAGACGATTATACCACATTCGTCCAGATTGTTTTAGTCCATACAATGACTTTTGTAGTTTAATGGAGAACATGTCTCGAGATTTCGAGCCATAAGCTTCAGGCATTTTAAATCCACCGGGAACTTTCATGTAAATGTCTGTATCAAGTGAACCATATAGATAAGCGGTCACTACATCCATTAGGCGCATTTGCAGCCTTTAAAAAACAGACATGCCAATGAGAAACCTTAATGTAGTTGCATCAACTACTGGAGAATAGGTTTCTTCATAATCGATTCCCGGCATTTGAGAAAAACCTTGGGCAACAAGTCGGACTTTATATCTAACAATTTCATTTTTCTCATTGCGTTTACGCACAAATGCCCATTTAAAACCCACAGGTTTTACGCCTTTTGGCGTAAGGACTATCGCTCCAAAAACATCACGTTTTTCAAGTGATTTTAATTCAGCATGAATAGCTTCATTCCATTTTGGCCAATCTTGTCGTTTCCGACATTTTTCAATTGATGTTGGCTCATTGTCATTGTTTTCATTCATAACATTCGTGGCAACGGCATAGACAAATATCTCATTAATATCAATATCTTTTCGATTCCATTGCATTCCAGTAGAAACGTAGTTTATTGAA